CCCAACTACTCACCTAAGAATCTACTAAGAGGTAGATTCATGAATATCTCAACAACACTAAACAGTCAAAATGCACAAGATAAAGATCACATCCCAACAGAAAGGGAACAAACCCTAATGCAATCTGGGGAGCTCAAAAGGCCCAAGCCTAGAAAGGTAATCCTTATAAATAAGAGCTTGAGGACCCCATGTACGGATTTTGAACTTATTTACTAATATTGCCCACACTGTGCACACACCCACCCCTTGGCTATAAGCCTATTGCTTGTGCGCAGTGATTGGGACTTCGGCTATAAGCCTAGTATACACCTGATATACATTATCTCTGAGCGCATACCTCACGGTATAGCAATACGGTTAATCCAGGACCGAACAATTTCCCTTATTGATGATCTCATTTTACTTGTTAGAAGACTATATTTAAATGAAAGATGAGCTATCCCGAATGAAAATAACTTTCAGTAGTAAAGTGGAAGGAACTATATCTGCTTCAATGTTAAGAAGTGCAACCTTTATACAGAGGATAAGATCAACACCTCAATAACCAGCTAATGGCAAGGTCTCGTAGCCTACAACACGCATCTTGGTTATGATCCTAGCATGCCAACCATCATTGAAGGAATTAATAAGAGTCTAAAGCAGCAAAGGTTCTCATATCCACTCATAAATACATGCTATAAATATCAATGCTCTCATGAAAGATACGCAATTCATTGTGTAACACTTGAATCTCCTTGTGCCAATACCGAGTATCATGGAAGATCACCTTCAATAAACTTTCAAAGGAGCCTTTTCAACTACCAATATACCAGCTCATACACGCTAGCGGATTTTCTTCAACCATGTGTGATAATTAGCCCACCTCCTATATTTGATATTATGTTACGAAATTAAACTTCCTATTAGGAGAACCCTTTGGGCTTTGAAACATGAATATTGTACAAACTTTATTTTGCTGAAATTCAACCTTTTTTTATTAGAAAATAAGTATGACAAGGATTGAACATGAATGATTTTATATTTATAATTAAGGCTTTATTAATCTCATGCAACAGGAGAGAGAAGCTCTCTTATGCTATAGAGATAATCATATGTGGGAGTCACCCACTTACAGAAAAAGAAAAAAAAGCAACACGGAAATTGATGAATGTGTAGGAAAGAAAAATACTCTCCTACAATGTAAGAGTATATTTTTCCTTATAATTATCCAAGAATTCTTTGGACTTGAAAGATGGATAATACACATGCTTATATACAATGGCGGAGCCAGAAGTAAAACTCAACTTGTGCCAAAAGACCCAATAAGGTAAAATTCAGTCGGTGCTAAGATTGTATTATTTTTAAGTGCTAAAGTCGTACCTTAATTTTTTTTTAAAAAAAATTGTACCATTTCTAAAAATTAGTTGATGCCAAGACACCACCTGGGCAACAAGTGGCTCCGCCATTTCTTACATATCCTATGCTAAGAAATTTCATATTATTAGAGATTGGGGTGGCAATGATCGAATTTTATCCCATTTGATCATAAAGTCTATGATACCATGTCATGCAACCAACTTATCCTTTTACGCAAAAGTCCTTTGGGCTTATGTGAATCTTGCATTTGTCTACCCATCTTGTGCTAAAATTTAACTTTTTCTTTTATCAGAAGAATGGGGACAATAAAAATCAAATTCCAAACCACTTGATTACAGAGACTCTATTACCATGTCATAGCCACCTCTCTCTCTCAAAAAAAGTTAAACTATTGGATGTAATGTCTTAGGTTCAAATTTGACACCTTCAATTCCTTTTTTTTTTTGGCTTACCAAAAAAAAAAAGAATCAACCTTTTTTTTTGGCAAAATTAACTCTTTTAATTGAAGGTTTCCTTGTATTTTAGTAAAAAGAATTTTTTTTTTTTTGGGGGGGGGGGATTTGTTGTAGTTTCAAAAAAATCAAGCAAATGTCATAAAAAAGATTGTTGTGTGAATGGAATTCAATTCACTTATCATTTTCACGGTCCAAACGTTGTATACTTAGGATTTGAATTCAAGATTCTTAATTAAATTGAAATAACTTCACCTCAATTGATCCACATATTTAATGGTCACTTTCTAATTTCTTTAATTATAATTATAAAATAACACATTAGAAAAAAAAAAAAACCTCTCTCTTTTAAATGGCATTATTTTTTCTTCTAATTTTTATTATTTTAAAGTGTCAAATTTTCATTTGGAGAAATAGAAATAAAATCAAATAAAAGTGATTTAAAGTAGGGTTGTCATTTGTGGCTTTTGGCATACTTTCATAACTGACCTGCTCATCAAGGTTGAATTTAGAAAGAAAAAAAATTCCCTCGATTGCTTGTGGGTAATCGATTTCCAAACTCATTTGTATTTTTAATTTTTTTACCAGTTTCAATATTTGTAACTTAAGTTAAATAAATTAGTAATACTCTAACTTTTTCTTTTCCAAAATAATGTTTTCCCTCCACGATCACACTAGTGACAAAAGAAATACAAAGTGAATTAATAAAATTAAATACAACAAAAGTATAAGTTATATTTTTAATTTTAACCGTTAATTTTATTTATATTTAACGGCAAAAATAATAAATCTTCCCCTAATTAAATTTAACTCTGATATAGTGTGTATTACTCAATTTGATAATGGAAGTGATCAGTGCATCTTGTGAAGCACGGAATGGAAGGGACAAACAAACAAATACTTAATTGTTCTCTTGACACCCATCGCGTCATGTCTACAACGCAAGAAAACTACCGACAGACCAAGTTTGGAACAAAAAAATTAAAAATAAAGTTCCATTTCAACACACGATATTTCAACAATTTCCTTCCCAGTTCTAACCCCAAACACTACTTAGCCTCCACATATCACTGCACTAGTGCAGCATAGGTAGAAAAACATCACATGAATTGATAACGAAATCGATAGCACATGGTACAGTCTCATAGGATGATCATAGATTGAATTGTTTATTCAAGCCATGTCATATAACTATAATTCTTACGTGGGTCTTCAAAAAGATAAGCATTTTTATAACGTCAAAAGGAATTTTGAAGAAAAGATTGGAGTACAAGGTTAAATGAGAAAACACCTAAGTAGAAGTAGATGCACGTTACAACATAAAATAAACATCGAATTAAAAAAGTGTAAAGGCCATGACAGCTAAGTTTAATCTCAAACATTAGTTCAATTCAACAAATGGAAAGCGGCACAAGAATGGACCTCATTGACAAAACAAGGCCGTATTACAAAATCTAAGACATCAGAAACAAGCCTAACTAAATTGTCGAATCAAAAGAAAATAAACAAAGACACGACAATCGTGAATCCAGCTAAGAGGTTTTTACTTCCACCTATCTGTATCCCTAAATTTCTGGACACGAAGCAAATCAAAAGTAAGAGATCTCTACTTACAACGGTACATTTTCTACGCCTCACTCTCAGACAATAGGCCTCTTTTGAGTCCACAAATTCCAAAATACTAAATTTCACAGGCAGACCGACCGTATTTAAACTACAAATTTCTCAATTGAAAAACCTAACACAAAAATGCAAACATGCGGACTTTTCAAACTAATAGAAACAAATGAAAAACTAGACATTATAAATGGCAATCTACCTTCCAGTTCATGTCAGCCACCTATATATTTCGAGGACAACCAGAAACCGAGTAACTTCATCATGTAACTCAGAAGCAGGATTCATATGAAAACCATAAAATACATCTTAACTTTCATGACAAACAACATGCAACAACGTGCAAGCACAAGAAGAATGCAACTCATCCAAAAGAAAGTCAAGTAACCCATATTGCATCTGGAACTATTTGACAGTAAACTGCTACTGCAAATATGGAAGTGACAGCCAAAGGCGATATACATCCATTTACAGATATAGTTTTTGTTTCAAATCAGGTAACTAAAGGGTCCTTTGAGGATAAAAAAAGAAAGTAGGGTAGGGAACATAGAAAAAAAGCCCAACTTAATCAACATAATGAAATCACCGCACAAAAATCTGGTTTTAACCTGCCTTCAGAAATACTTTACATTAAACTGCTTCAGCAATGAAAAACATATGACCCAATTTGAAAGTGACAAACAAAGGCCTCATACTGGATAGAGAATTTGTTTCTAACCAGGGTGACTAAATGGACCTCTGAGGAACAAAAGGAGAGGACAAGAGCCAAAAAAAGAAAAAGACCAACAAAATCCACCAGCACTGTAAACAAAACTGGTTTTTTAAGCAAATATATGAAAGAACCTTCTAACTTTGACAATCTCAAAGTGATTTTAAATAAGCATGACCAAGGGAAAAGAAAATGGGAAAATACATGTTAAAAAGGAAAAAGTGGAGAGCAACAAAAGGGAACCTTTTTCTACTTTTCCAATAGGTCATAATTGGGGAATTCTACCATCACCTAAAAAGTTTCTCTAAATGTGAGAACTTCACAAGCAGGTCAAAATCAAACTTACATCAAAAACATGAATTTTTTCCTATTTAAGTTAGATTGATTTCATTATTGGTGCCTGTTTAAATAACAGTGGCTGTCAAACCTGCAAGACAACTAAACAAATTAGGTAAGCATACTCTTGAGCAGAAGTCAAAAAGCCGCTTGATCTGTTAGTTTCTAAGCAATTTTTTCAAGGAATAATGACCAAAAGCACTTAACACGTTATGCAAATTTCATTTCAATAATCATGCGTTCAAAAATAACCAAAACGCCAAGTACTTGAGAAATTCAAAAAAAAAATATTAAAGAAAAGGGAAAACAGTATCGAATAAACCGTATAAAACAATATAAAAGCAACTCTTGGAATACCAAGTTGAAGCACAATGGTTCACCCAAGCATAAATCTCAAAACATATTTTGTTCTGCACCTCAAACTCCTCATAATACAGATATAAACCAGTTCCAAAGGATTTTTTGAAGATAAAGTAAAGTAAAATACTACAGTATTTTGAAATGAAAATAAAGATGAAAAAGAGTAGGTGGCCAAAACAGAACTTCATTTGGTAATTTAAATAATCTGATCTTTGAAGTAACGTTTCATTATAAAGACGCCAATTGCACAGCTCCTTAAACTTCAGAAGAATCACCAGGCCAGTAATAAAAGACTGATGTACTTATGAAGAATCTGCAAAATGAATAAAAAAGCATGAAAAACAATTTCAAAGTGGGAAAAAAATTGAAAAGGACCAATTTTCGACCAAATTGATCAAGAGCTATTAAAAGTTATATATCAAGCTCAAAATGATTTGACATTTCAACATGCTGGAACAGCATGCACTTATGTCATAAAGGATTTGTTTTAGTAAGCACCCCAATTTGGTCCTCAAGATTTTCACAACATAAAATTGGACCTAGAAAAATTGATACATCAAATAATAATTACGTCATTGAACGAAATCAATTTGGTACAATTAAACAGTAAATTTTGAACTACTTTGATGTCTTAAACTCATCAATTGAGGACCAAATTGATGTTTGAAAAAACTTTCAAGGACCAAAATGGGAGTTTGCAGGTTTTTTTTTATATACAAATATGCATTGAAAAGTGAAAAGCGCCATCAGCCCAACAACATTAGAAGATGATTAACCAACTAAATAGTAAAATATAAGGCCATAAATACAGTATGCTTCACAGAGAAGAAAGCAAAAAGGATCATTCACCATGAAGCCTTAGTTCAAAACAAAAGGACTTAAAACCATAGAAACACAACAAAACATATCATTAACTTGAGTTTGAATTTAATAAATGAGTAAAACAGTACTGAGTACCTCAATTAGAGCATATATGAGATCATTAATGCTATTGCAAACCAGGCGGGAATAGGCAGAAATAAAACCGTTAAAAACAGTCTCCTGGACTAATAAAAGTCAAAAAACGAATCTATAATGTTTTCACAATTATTCATCTTATGTTTACAACAGCTTTCCTGAAGATGGTGAATGGATATCTAGCATTCTCAGCTTGCTAGTTAAATCTTGAAATCTCTCGTGGGAAGTCTCATAGTCAATACATCAGTTAATTGAAGTCTCAAACGGATATGTATAGTAGAAATAAACCTGCTATCCAACTTCTCCTTGATAAATTGGTGGTTGATCTCAAGTGTTTTGTTTAGTCATGATGAATTGGATGATAAGCTATACAATAACAGATTTATTATCACAAAACAACGCCATAGGTCCTTCATATTTCGCTTTAAGGTAGGTATAATTTATAGTAATTCACAAACCTCTTGAGCCATAGCTCTAAATTTTACCTCTGGCTTGACCGATCTACCACATTTTGTTTCAAAGCTTACCCAAACACACCCTAGATTAGATACAAGACAAGTGAATAAAAAGATGTCAAATTTGACATTTCCTGTCTATTTGTTTTGCATACAATACAGTGGACGAAGTATATCCACTTAAACGTGTAAGAAAGCAAAAAAGTGTACAGGTGTGACCCATATACAACAGCTGCCCCATTGGCCAAGGTTCCGGACCACAAGGTGGAGTGGATTGGAGAATTTTCACACATTGGTCGCTTGTACTTATTGCAACTAAATCCTAAGCATGTTTAGTGCACCTAAAACGTTGGATGCACTTTTATGCTATACTAATACAAATAATTGAAATTATGACTTAATTACATTTCTACTATGTATTCACATATGCTGCCTTGATATTTGATCTAAACTAAGTAATAACAAAAGCTAAAAACTGTACAGGAAAAGTTAATAAAAAATATTATTTAACTCTCAAAATTTGAAACTTTCCCAGAAAAAATGAAAAAAAACAAAACAAAAGAACTTGCAAAAACATAGTGGATATACAATATTATACAATTAGTATTGTAGAGTACTTAATGTCTTCCATACCAATCAAGAAGTCTACTAAAAATACAGGACACTAAAAAAACCCTAAACAATTACTCCTAGGCAAAGTTAGATAACAGGTCTGGGATGAAAAGTATCATATATGAGGCAAACAAAAAATAGGAATTAAATTGCACAAAAATATATTAATGACCCAATAACAACTAGACAAGGGAGGCGAGAAAAAACTAACAAAGAAGAAACTATGGACATGAAAAAGATAAGCAAGGAATTACTTATATCACCAAGAAACTAAACAAATGCAAGGAACAGACATGAACTGCTAATGTGTGAGAGCATGTATACATCTCTCTTTTTAACTCTAATGCTATGGCTTCTTCCCAGCCTACCAATCTTCCTTTATTTTCAGTCATTTCCCATTCCTTCCATACATCATTTCTCCATCTTTCTATTATTATTGCATAATTACACACCCATAGTAGTCAATAGCCACGCCGGTTGCGCTTTGTGAAGCTTCGCCGCAACCATCTGCGCCACGCTGCACTAGATCGCAATAGCGGACGTTGCGGACGCATTTGCGGCCAAATCTCGCCGCAACAGTGTCTTTTTATGGTTTTAACCCTAACCCACTCTCTCTTTCTGCCTTTCTGCCTCGCTGTTGTGTGTCTCTCTTCTGCCTCTCTTGCTTTCTTTATCGCGCTCGTTTCTTCCCTTCTCTACTTCTCTCTTATAGTATTGAAGTTCAATGTGGAAGCCATGAACGAAGAAGCAAAGCTTTGAGTGAGAGAAAGAGTGTGAGAGAGAGAGAGAGCAGATGACGGAGAAAAAGAGAAATAGTAAGAGAGAGATAGAAAATAGATGAAGGAGAAAAAGAGAAACTTTGACAGAGAGAACGGATGAAAGAGAAAAAGAGAAAAGGTGAGAGAGAAAGAGATTCTGATCTATCTTTATTCAAAGAAAAGAAAAGTATATTTGTCAGAAAAGTGATTCACAAGTCACGATAACCAAGTAACCTGGTTATAGTAACAGTGGTAAAACTATTTCTATATCCCAAAAAAAAAAGAATGCATCATTAAAAGGTAACTAAGGTAAAACACTAAAGTAACTAAGATAAATCTGGTAGATCAGTAAAGTACAGTTACAACTATAGATAGTACAACTATAGCTAAAGTCTGGACACTTATTACTAAGAGGTAACATGTCAACTCTACCTTTATTTTATTTTTTAAATTATTATTTATCTTTATATTTTTTTTTATGCGTATTTCTTTTAGGTGTTATTATTTTTTAATAATTTATTATGTTACACACACACACATATATATATATATACATATAATTTGGTTTTTTAATAAATATATTTTTTCCGTTATTTCTGCAAACCGCAACCCACAATAGCGTTATAGCGATTTTGAGGGTTGGCCGCATCAGGCCGCAATTCGCATTTGATAACTATCTACACACCATTAATGATGTTTTTGACCCAGCCGGCACACCCACCCAATGATCCAAACTCATAAGACTTTCCATGTTCTTTGTCTAACATTATTATTCATCCTCTCTATCTCCAGTGAAATAGATAGAAATAATTATGCTTCCATCAACAAATATGAACAGACACCAAACATTCTTGACATACAAAAATATGTATTCTAATTTCTAAATGTAAAGAACCTTGGGATACACCACCCCAAAAGCTAGCTCAAAGGGTGGGAGTGTCCAAGGCCTTATAAACTCCACATTAGTTGATCATACAACTAATGTGGGACTATATATCTCAACACGCCCTCTCACGCAAGAGCCCTTTGGGCTTGAAATTGCACAGGCCCAATTTTTGGTTTACCTTTTGTGCTTTTTTATTTTTAATTCCACTTTTAAAGTGGGAGGCGGTGAGGATCGAACTTGTGACTTTGTAGTCACTCAAGCTCTGATACCATGTAAAGAACCTTGGAATTCACCACCCCAAAAGCTAGCTCAAAGGGTGGGAGTGTCTAAGGCCTTATAAACTCCACATTAATTGCTCATACAACCAATGTGGGACTATATATCTCAACAAGCACAAAATGAACATGCATAAACAGTATTAGTTAGCAGATTGGATTATATAAAAATATGATTTTGTACTCTCTTCCACTGCATAGAATAGAGAAACCTATTAAAAGAAAACTAGGTCGTTCTTCCATCTTTAACTCCAAACATACTAACAAGTTTTATGATCAGCATCAACTCCTGGTAAATACAATAGTACTCAGCAAACATTGACAAATCTAATTTCAACCCAATCACCAATTTGAATCCAGCATCCTTTGCAACTAAGGGCCCCTTACCATATTATCACCATATACACATTACCATTCTCATCACCTCATCCAACACTTAAACCACATACAATCAAAATACAATAGAAAGAAAGATTTGAACAAGAAGAAAACAAAGATTAAATAATATGAACATAATGTTATGCAATCAAATGTCCTATTTAAAACCCCTGAAAGTGTGGCATTAAAATCACCAAGATGAGATCAAAAAATTAGCTTCCTTAGACCGACTCCCATACCTTCTCTATTTCTTTTAGTAAGTCAACTAAACAGTACCCAAGGACAGAAAAACAAGCTAAAATGCCAAAAAGAAATTGTCAATGAAAGAATATAAATACACCATACCTGAAGCACACACCTAGTGCCCCATGTCAGTCAATATATTAGCTTACTTACACTGACTCCACAAACTTCCCTATTTATTTCTTTTTGTAAGTCAGTAAAACAGTACCCCAAGCAAAATCAATAATAACAATAATAATGATGATGATAAATTAAAGAATATGAATACACCATACCTGAGCACGCCTAATGGCCCATGTAAGGGGCAACACCACCATATTGCCCAACACCATGCTGCTGCTGCTGCTGCTGCCCTCTTCCAGAACCACCTTGCCCCACCTGCTGGTTGGGATATGCACTCTGCAATCCTACTTGATTCCCATATCCCCCAATAGCCCCGGAATTCACATTTGCCTGGCTACCATAACCACCCTGCATTCCATGTCCAGCCGGGTTCACAGCCGCCTGCGATCCTAGTGTCCCCAACAAACCAGTCAGCCCCAAGCCGGCACCCTGAGAAGCCAGCAAGGCTGTCAATGCCTGCCCAAGAGCAGGATTCAGCGCCTGTGCAGCAGCCGCCGCAGCTCCCCCCTGGTTATACCCGATTGCCGGCCCCGCCGGTGCCATCAAGTGCCCTGGCGTGGCAGCTGCAACGCCACCAACAAAGCCAGGATTCCCATTTCTCTGAAACTGAGTTGCTGTCGTTGTGGCTGCAGCCACCGTCGCCCTCTGAGCATTATTCTGATGATGTTGTTGCAGTGGTGGGTATTGCTGCTGCATTCCAAATCGCTTGGGACCATCAATAGCTTTTTGGCAATGCAAAATGTGGCCTTCGAACTCCTTGTGCGGCTCCTCTAAAGCCCTCTTCGCACTCTCCGCGCTCTTATAAACGAACAAGCAGAACCCCTTGGGTTTTCCCGTCAACTTGTCAAGCCCTAACGGCCCATCCTCAATCTCCCCGAACCGCGAGAAGAACGCCAGCAGCCTCTGCGGGTCCAATTCGGAACCCACATTGCTCACGTAGATCTTCCTCTGCGTGAATTCCACTGCCCCAGGGGGCGCGGTGGTAACAAAATTCGGTTGTGCCATCGGAACTCCGACACCGGCGAGGTTATTTGGCTGCTGGACCGGACCGATTGATGCCAGCTGGCAGGCTGTCATTCGGTTACCGATCTTCTTCTGCGGCTCCCTGAGCGCAAGGCGAGCACCGCGGCGGGACTTGAAGAGGATGAAGCCGTAGCCCTTGGATTTCCCGGAGATCTTGTCGCAGACGGCCTTGCAGTCTTCGATCTCGCCGTATTGTCCGAAAGCGGCGGTTAGGGTTTCGGCGGTGGTGTCCCAACCGAGGCCGTGAACGAAGATTTTCCGGTGTGAGGGATCGGAGTCCGCCACCTTCCGGATCCGTTCCGCCACATCGCGGTGCTTGCTCGCGGCATCGCACAGAAGCCTCGCGATCTCGTCCTTTCCGAAAGGTTCTAGAAGCTTCTGGATCGGCTCGTCCTCGTCGTCTTCCACGTCGTTCACCGTGGGTGCTGACGTGGATGGCGCCTTAACCGTCTGATCATTAGCGTTTTGTGCATGATTGTCCTCTTCCTCTTCCTCTTCGTCTTCTTCTTCTTCTTCTTCTTCATTCTCTTGTTCTTCTTCTTGTTCTACCTCTTCTTGTGGCTCCTCTTCGATTTCTTCTTCTACTTCTTCTTCGACTTCCTCGTACACTGCTTCCAAATCGAATTGATGTTGTTGTTTGAGTGGGGGTTCTTCCACTTGCGCCGATTGAGCGGATTTAGCTGGCAATTTTCGCTTTCTCCCCATGTTTTTTTTTTGGTTCTGAACAGTTGATTTTCTCAGAGGCTCTCTCAACTCAGGTCAAGGTTAGGGTTTCGGATTTGACTATTCGTTAGTAATTTATATAATGTTAATTTAATTTTTAATTTTTAAAAGCAATTATTGTATAAGATATTGTTATTTGTTACAACAAATTATTTTTAGTTTATTTATATGAGGGAGGATATTCTTATTATCAACTTTTTTTACTACTACTCCACTATCACTTTAGTCACTATTGGATTCAAAAGTTATTTTTTTTTCTCTCTTCATTCAACTTTTTCTCTAATCCAATAGTAATTAGAGTAAAAGTGAAGTGATAGTAAAAAAAATGGGTAGTAAAAATATCTAACTCTATTTATATTGGATGATGAATGAATAGATATTTTGCAGGCCACGGCCCATGTGAAATGTAAACAAACAGTTGTCTTTACTTTGCAAGGTAAGATTGGGTTCATTGAACCTAGACTATCTTGTAATTCTAAATTAATATAAGAAAATAAAATATAATGACCAAGACACTGGCAAGAAACTATATTTGGAAATTTGGCTAGAGGAACTAACTTGAAATTCTTTGAATTTGTCACTTGGCCTTAACTTATGGTATTTTGTATTTTATTTTTTGTAGTAAATAAGGAGGGCATAAGCTCAAAAACAGAAATTGCAGTGCTATCGTGGCTCTAACTAAATCAGCATCATGCATATCAGGTCGTAGAAGAGGAGTTATCTAACGTGGAGGACTTGAAAAAAGTTGGAATTCATTTTCAATACCAATCCCATATTTTGTTTGCCAACCAATAGTTTAAATCACGATGAAGGTGCTTAATTTCAATATAAAATAAGAAAAGTGTGTGTCATTTTAAATGATACAAATTATATCATTTCATAGACACAAAAAAATATGAGTCCCACTGAAAACATTAAAAATAAAAAATAAAAATATATATTTCATCTTTTTGTATTTATAAAATGAACAGTGAAGGACCCAAAATTTTTTACGAGAGAGAGCGAAAATAAAAAGTATTATCAATGTTTCATCATTGCTAAAAGAAGACTTACACCTTATAAGCAATTTTCAATTTTCATGAAATAGCCACAATATCATAGGAATGTTAATGGTTAGCCAATATACCGAGTCTAATAATATATTAGAAGCCTTAAAATCATGGTAGATGATTGGTTGCTCAGAGTCATGCAAAAAGGTGTGACATTGAACAGCATCAATGACAACTTTGATCCTTGTTGCCCAAGGAAGTGGTCGTGTGCCCCTTGCAAAAGTTTCAGTGTTTATTAACGCGCAATTTGATAGTATGGTTTGAAACAAATATAGGTTATATCCAAATATATATGAAAACTTGAATTAAAAACTGTTAAATCATAATACATTGAGGTATAGTCACTTAGAGTGTATTAATCTCTTGAAATTTATGCTACTAAAGGCATGTACTCGCAGACTAGAAGTTGGTTATCCCCATCCGAGCTGGTTATCCCCATCCGAGCAGTATCCAAAAAGCTTGACAAGATTTGGATGATGAAGTTGGCCAAGATAATTGACTTCAGATTGAAAATACAGAAACCTATAATAGGATTTGATTATTTTAAATTAAAAAAAAATCAGAATTTGAATCCAACCTACCAGCCACTCCTTTTGGCCTTGAAAACCTCCAGGTTTAAGCTTCTTCACGACTACAATAATTCCAAATCCAGGCCTTGTAGCCCTAGCAGAATGCTCATCAATCCACCCATTATAGACATGACCAAATCTCACTTCTCCTATGAGGCTATTAGGATGAAAGTTTCTCTCCCTACCAAATTTTAACACATCTGCATACCCAAGACTCGAACTCGAGACCACTGGTTAAGCTGGAACAACTCATTGCCAATTGATTAACATGCTTTGAGGTTTTGTTTAGGAGCTTTGTCATTAAAATTATGATGATTGATTTATTAATGAATGACATTAAGTGGTTAGGTTAAAATGAGACATGATAGAATGGTGATTGTATTAGTACAAAGAGGTGTGATTTGTATCACGTGTGTTTGTAGAAGATGTAAATGGGTAAATTGGGTATCATGTAGTGGAAGGAAACTTCATTGTGGCTGTGTTGTTCATAATCTTAAATATGGTTTTAAACCATCTAATGAAGATAAAATCAAAACTTAATTAGATGAGATGTTCTTATGGATTAGAAGTAGCTATAGATAGAGATGAAAATGATCGTTCTTTTGGAAAGATGTGTTTTATTTTACTAGCTTCCTTCACTCGAGGAATGATGTATATGTTTAACAATTGTTTGGCTATATGTAAAAACTTTGGATACCTTGACCAATTTTTTTTTTATCTCTAGTCCAATTTCATTTATTGGTTATAATGTTCATAATTTAATATTTATTATAAATTATCATATAAATTTAATGGAATTACGAATATAATGTTATAGGACAAAAAAAGTGTCAAATAGAAACAATAAATTGGTAGGGTCCATCAAATTTGTTTTCTCTTTTCTCCCACCACTTTCTTTGTCCTCTTTATTGTGTCTATTGGACACTTTTTTTTATCCGTAACATTATATTCATAATTCCTTAAATTTAATTTAATTGGTTTAAATAGTAACCCATTGAGGTAATAGTACGACCGAATCAATGACCGGTTTGAGTTTAATAACATTGACACATGCACAAAAGGTTAACATTTCATCTTCTAAATTAGCAACAATTCTACTTAATGATGACGAAGGGATTAATGAAATAGTTAAAAGGAATAAGACAAAGGCACAATGCTTATACCTTGGATGGAGGCAAATAAGAAATTTACCTGAAGCTAGAAACTTGACTTATGCAGAGTTTCCAAGCAAACACATCTAGAACAAGCACAAGTAAAGATGCGAATAAGGAAGAAAGGATGTCCTATTGGTCGGATTCATTATGTTTCTCTCTTGGATCTAGAGATTTTTATTTTATTTTATTATAAATCATCCGATATCCGATTGTCAATAGATGATGACTAATTCGGATTCATACCAGACATGATTATAGAAGTGATAAAACTTTATTTATTAGGATTTAAACACAACTGTATATCCATGACTCAACTCGACACCACTGATTAAACTATATTATCTATGAAACTTTACTATATGAGAATCCTAGTAAGCCAGTCAATGGAATAACATACAACAATTTTCAATGCCCTGTATTCTTATGTGAGCCTCTACTTTAGGAATATAGTTCAACCTTTTGAAGAGCAAAGTGGGTCCAATTATAAGTTGTTACATAATTATTTTTTAATTTTTCCACATAATTATTGATTACTTGATTAATTCAGTCTGAGGGGAGAATCTAGGGCCACAAGAACTTTCATATTAAAATATCTATAATTAACCACTATAAGTGATCTAATAGTAAAAGATATAAATAAAGGGTTTTATTAATCTCCTTTCACATAAGATAGTTATCTTATGTGGTAGAGAGAAAATGAGTGGGTCCCATTATTGTAAGAAAAAAGAAAAAGAAAAAAAAGTAGGGTGCGAAAATCGAAGTGAGAGAAAATGAGATAAGTTACCTCATGTGAAAGGAGAGTAATATTTCCCATAAATAATTTGTATGAGATTACATATTCATACTCATTGGGATTATTGTATACAAACAAATATCTACAATAAAACTTATTTACTCTTATGGTAAAATAAGTTTACCAATTTTTATTTATAATTTTATTAAATCTTATTTTCTTAATATTCAATTTTGTTATTCAACAATTTCAATTCTTCTTTTTTTGAAAAATAGTTCCATACATAAGGTCTGAATTTATGTCCCAATAAAAAACAAGTGGACTTTATAGTATTTAGGGATAGAATATTCTATCTATCTTTTTTTATATCTACCTTTCCCATCAATCTCTAATATTATTAGATCAAAATCTCAAGAGGAGAGAGAAATAATAAAGATTAATTGAGATTCTGATCTAACAATGTTGGAGAGTAATAGACAAATTAAGCATAAAAAGGATAAAATAACCTAATCCGTATATACATATCTATGGTTGGGGGCTATTTGACCATTGTGCCCTTTTTTTCATTTAAAAAGTACCACTTTGCTTTCGTTCTAAAAATATACATCAATATGTTCTTGTTTGACCAATATACTCGAGTATTTGCTGTTTCTAGGCATGTACTTGAGTATATGTTCAAAAAAAAAAATTACAGAACTTTTTCAACGCCCAGCTCTTGAAAATTTATGTGAAATGAAAAAAAAAACACCTGATTCGGATACTCGAGTCAAAACATATGACCTTTCGAAGTTTTATAAAAAAAATTCCAAAATTTTATAATGCCAATAGGTTTTATGATACCCACAAAGATCCTCCTCAGATTAAGTAATCTGAGGAGGAGCTTTGTTGGTATGACATAATCTATTGACATTACACAATTTTGGAAATTTTTTGATAAAATTTTGGAAAGTCATAACTTTTGACTCGGGTGTTTGAATCAGGTGTTTTTTTATTCCACATAACTTTTCGAGAGCTACGAGTTGAAAAAATTGTGTAGAATTTTTTTTGAATATATACTCGAGTACATGTCCAGGAACATCAAATACTCACTATCTTGGTCGTATACTCGGATATATGTTCACTTGATATACTCGAATATATAGTCATATACTCGAATATATTAGTCCGTTAATGATTAAACAGAACCATATTAATATATAGTTTTAGAAATTCACCCAAAAAAAAAATATATATATAGTTTTAGAACGGATACAAAATGGTACTTTTAAAATGAAAAAAGATACAATGGTCAAATAGCCTATGGTTGGGCGATAACATTAAATAATTCATTCAATTAATGACGTGGTGACCTGTGATTGAAACAAGTGTAGCAAAAAAAAGAAAAGAAGGCATAATATTGCAGAGAAGAGTAGGGAAAGAAAAGAGGTTCAATTGGGGTTGTGTCTTGGGAATGAATGGCAGCAACAACAACAACAATATAAGTGGAAGAATTGTTGTATTGGCGTCACACTTCAGTTGTTCCAGTTCTAT